TTTCTATCTGAGGCTTTTCACACAGGTGTGTTGCTTTATTATTTTATTATAGATTCTCTTTAAACAGGTTAGAGTTGTCCAATACTTGGGATGTATATGTATATATTATTATTATACTTTATAAAACACCAACATATAACATAGCACTTTATATTAAATAACTGAGGGGGTTGAACTAGGCTTTGCCTAAATGGGCACACCGTGTAAGTGGTAGGGAGCAATAGATACAGGAAGTAAGGGAAATGTTAGTAACGGGAAATCACGGGTTAATTCTGTGCTCCGTAATGAATGCCTGGGATTCCTAATGATGGGTGTAAAATTAATAGGATGGGAAGGAACCAACCAACCAACCAATTTTTCAGGCTCCTATTTTAGAATAGTCTGATGTCCATTCTTTCAGTTTTGGTTGTTTCATAAATTCTACATTGTATGTTTTTGCATTGTAATCCACATTTTGAGATGCTGTTTTCTGCCAACAAGGATAATCATATTTGTTGTAATTTTTTATAATGTAAATGGCATTTTATGTTGTCTAAGTAGAAGCTAATGTCTTTACTAAACGAGTCACCGCAGCAGTTATTTTTAACATCAGTTTTACCCTTTTTTATATCCTATTTTTTTTATCGCTTTATTAAATACGTCCCTTTTTCATTCCAGAATAGCTTAAGGCAACAACAGACTCTAAATGTCAAGCATATACTTTGCTTTATACAGATTCAGCCAAAATCTTTGCCAGATAAATAAAAAAAAACTGTATCAAACTGCCAAGAATCCGTCCAGTTGCACACTGCTCAGTTAATCAGCCAGCTGTATGAGAACACATTTGAATAGAAGTGTGATGAGTAAATTACTTATTAGCATAATACAGCATCCAATTTCTGCAGCACTTTTATGTTGCATAGCTTTTTCTCATTGGCTTGCTTTATCCCTTGAAGTGAATTAAATATTCTGAACTAAAAGGAGGAATTAGGGAAAACTTTAATAGTTGTTAACTTTCTAATTCAAACAGTCATTTGAAAATACAATGTTTCATCCTTCTTTAATGGTACAGTTTGCCGAATGGCCAGTTGATGTTAATAGGGAAATTACAGTTTGTAGAGGCAAATTTATAGAAGGTTGAATGTAATGCTTCGTGGAGATAGTGCAACAATTTTGCCTATTTATAAAGCTGCCCCTGACCGTTTTTCCACCATACTTTGGCGAGGATCAAAACAATCCAGTGAAATGCAATTCGTAGAGATGAATAATTACTACCAGCCTAGTCCATATTTTTTTAGTGGGAAGCTGGAGAATTAATTTTCTTTGAGATGACGTGAGCTCTATTTATAAAGAAATTGCCATGTGATTGGTACAGCGAATGTTTGTTGGACATTCCTAAGTCAGTACTTAATGATATATTTCCATAATTTTCAGAGCTTGCCCATCACATTTTACAAGATTCTTCCATCAGCATTTGAATACAACCCAATAAAGAGATTCCAATAACAAGGTTCTCCCATCAACCACTGCATTACACAAAATGGAATCCTCTTTAACCAGTTGACATCCGGGGTGTTAAACCCCCTTCCCATCCAGGCCATTTTTCAGTATTCAGCGCTGCGGTACTTTGACATTTATTCCGTCATGCAGCGCTGCACTGAAATTAATTTTATACCCTTTTTTGGGGACACATAGAGCTTTATTTTGGTGGTATTTAATCACCACTGGGGTTTTTATTTTTTAATAAGGAAAAACTACAGATTTAAAAAAAAAAACAGTTCCCCCTATATTAATTATAATAACATTTATTATTACCACATTTTTTGGTAAAATATAAAAGATGGGGTCACGTCGGGTAAAGAGACACCAAACATGTCAAGCCTTAAAATTGCGCATGCGCGGGAAACCTCAAAAAAACTACATTACCCAAAATTGGCCATAGGCGACGCATTAAAAGCTTTTACCGCTCATCAGTTTAGTGTTATCAGTGATTGATGGCCCTAAAATGATTGCTCTCACTGCGACGTTCGCGACGATACGTAACATGT